AGCTGGCAGGTCACCACCCTGCCAGAGCCCTGGCCCCTGCCTGTGGCCAGCCCCTGCGCCCAGGTGTGTGCAGGAGGCTGAAGCCCTGCCCTTGCCTGCAGGTGGCCCTGGAGTGGCAGCCTCCCTCTTCCTGGGGACCTTCTTTGTCAGCTCCGGCCTCATCCTCACCGTGGCTGGTTTCTTCTACCTCAAGCGCACCAGTAAATTGCCCAGGCTCTGCTACGGAAGAAACAAAGGTATTTCCTTGTGCCCAGCTGGAGGCCCCTGACCAGCAGCCCCTGCGAGGCCCCGGGTGCTGCCTGGGGGACACTGAGAACTGGAGGCTGTGCTGGTGTCCAGCCGTGAGGCCTCCTTGAGAATAAAGAGGGGCTGTTACCTCCTAGGGATACTCCATGCAGACTGTGGGGTAGCAGCTGCCCCTCTGACCACGTCCTCTCCCCACCCTCCCGGGGTTGGGAGCAGCCAGGCTGGTGCGAGGACAGTGGGGCTCCAGGCTGCCCAGCTTACCCTGGGCCTGGACACCGGCCCTGCTTCCTCCTGAGGACACGGGTGTCACTCCCACTATGCTCTTCAGGGTGCTAGGCAGGTGGGCAGCCAGCAGACCTGACTCCTCAGTGGACAGTCTCAGTGGGCAGTTGGCCAGAGCTCACCTGTTAGAGGCCTTGGCTGGGAACTCCTCAGCTGGCCTTGTGACACCCCTGCCTGCCACCCTCAGCCAGCACTAGGCGCTTTCGTGGGGCTGCTGGAGCTCCCTGGTCCCAAAAGTCGGGGCCTGGCCCCTCTGCCTCTCAGGACAGGTGCTCTGGGGTGAGCTGTGGGAGGCTGCTGTGCAGTGGTGGGCCCGGGGCCTGCTAAGAGTCTCTCCTCTCCGTTGCTCCACAGCTGGGCTTGCTCAGCCTAGGTACCACAGTCCAGGGAGAGGGCAGGGCAGCAGGGGTCTGGTGGCCGGTGGAGGAGGGGATAGAGGTGGTCTCCCTGAAGCACCTGCTGGGAAACTGGGAAGTGTAGAGCTTAGTAGTGGCAGCCTTGAGAAAGGCACTCTGAGGACTGGCCTGTGAGCTCTGCTGAGGCAGGAGGGTGGGACCTAGGAGGGGGCAGCCACCCCCGAATGCAGATGAGAAATGTGGCCGGGCTTAATGCCAGGTGAGGGCACTGCTGGGGAAAGGTATGGGAGGAACCTCTGCAGGGCCCTGCCCAGGATAAGGGACCTCATCCTGCATGGCCTCCAGGTGACACCTGTGCTCTTACCCGCAGCCCCAGCCCTGCAGCCTGGCGAAGCCGTAAGTAACCTGGGTTGGCTGAGTGCCCTCACGTCCTGTGCCCTGTGTCTATGCCTGTGTGTGCGTGTCTGCAGTCTCACTGTCCTTTCCTTTTCAAGGCCGCGATGATTCCCCCGCCACAGTCCTCAGGTATGTCCGTCAGCTCTTACTGTCCCTTGCCTGCCCAGGTCCCTTGTCTCTGGGCAAGAATTTCAAAATGCCAGACGTGTCTGTGGGATCAGCTGCCCTCCGGGGGCCACAGCCGGGTCAGCAGGGACTTGAGCATCTGGCCCCACATCCTCCATCCCTGGTGGCTCTGGACGCTGGCCAAGTCCCCCTTAATCAGCCATGGCCTTCCTGTCTTTCCCCTTTGATCTCTGAGACCTTGAGTCCTGGCCCCTCCTGAGGGCTGGTGTTTTAATTTTACCAGCTCCAGGTGTGACACGAGCACAGGTCGTACGGGCATGCACCTGGCCCCGCCCTAGCCCGGTCTCACCACTGTGAGGAGGACAGAAGTGGGGACAGGAGAGGATGTCTCCTTTTGGGGACAGTGAAGTTCCTTGGTCAAGGCTAGATTCCGCTGTGTTCCCTAAAACGCTTGTCCACGGTTTCTTTAAAGCCGCCTGTCTACAGCAGCTTGCATTTCCCGAGTCCCCTGCTCGGGTCTTCTACTGCCACCCCAGCAAACAGCCACACACAGGGCGGGTGGAAGCTACAGAATGCACCCCCACAGGTCAGAGGCCAGGGTCAGAAGTGGAGGGTGTGGGCGCCCTCTCTGGAGGCTCTAGGGGAGGGTCCTTCCTGCCTCTCCCGCCTCGGTGACTCCAGGTGTCCCTGGGCTTGTGGCCGCATCCCTCCAGCCTCTGTCCCATCTGCACGTGGCTTCTCCCTTCTCCCTGTGTCTCCTCATCTGTCTGCCTCCCTCTTAGGAGGACACTGGTCACTGGATTTAGGGTCCCCCAGAGATCCAGGGGGATCTCACCCCATGATCCTTAACTTAGTCACATCTGCAAAGACCCTTTTCCCAAGGTCACATCTGCTGGTGCCAGGGCTTAGAATGGGGACACTTTGGGGACCACCCTCCAGCCCTACGCTGCATCATGTGGCCTGTGGTTCTGCGTCATGGACGTGCAGGCCCTGCCCAGGCCAAGGTGCTCAGGGCGCAGGGGTCAGCTTACACTCATCACAGAAGCTCTCCGCTGCAGTGGCCCGCTCCCCGGTGGGGCCTAAGTGGGGTCTGCTCCCCGTGGCAGCTCCACGCCCCACTCTCCACCCAGGCTCCACGCTGACCCCACCTATCTCCGACCCTGTTTCAGTGCGGAAGCCGCGCTACGTCAGGCGGGAGAGGCCCTCGGACAGGGGCACAGGCCCTACTGCTGTCTCCTTGGTGGAAGCCCGAGTCAGCAATGTCTGACCGGAGGCTCACCTACAACTCTGCACACCGCCTTGGAGGGAGCCCCGCACACAAGTTAGGCTCCTCCCAGTGAGGCCTCGGGACAGGCCTGGACTCACCCCTGGCTCAGCTCTGTGTCGCCAAGTGGCAGCCGGCCAGCTTCCTGAAAGTGCTGTGTTCCTGCCCACAGCTGCTCAGCATAACAGACCAGGAGCAGGCATCCCTGAGACGGGCTGGGAGCGAGGATGTGGGGGTCTGGGCCCCTCAGGGGAGACTTGAGGGACCACTGGGCTCCTCCATGCCTGCAGCGCTGGGCCCAGTGAGCAGACACCCTTCTAAGGGCAGTGAGACAGAGGCTGTTGGGTGTTCCAGCTGGTGTCCAGATGGAGGTGGGCAACAGGGACTTGGAACTGGCCCTCAAGGGCTGTCCTGCTGTGGCCAAGCCCATGACCACTCATTTCCAGGAGCTGCAGAAGTGATTTTCCTGATTTCCTGCTTACTTCTGTCTGTTTTTAAGAAGAAATGCAAAAAAAGAAATGAAATGCATTTTGTAGAAAAGTGAGAGACGCTGCTTCCCTTGTCTGCTCCCCACTCCCAGGGCCCCATGCACTGCGGGGCTTTGTCCATCCAGGACGGACACTGCTGCAGCTGCTGGACATCAAGCCCAGGCCCCACAAGGATGTGTCCCCCAAGGGCCCTGTTTACCTGGGATGCGCTTGGATTGTCTGGTCATGCTGACCTGTGGAGAAAGTGTGTGTGGCCACCTCCCCTCAGCAGTATCTTGCATTTTCTCCTTCAGCGTCTGATTGATATCGGAGGGGCTGGAGGTGGGCCCAGCATGGTCAGCCTCTGTGCCCTTCTGCATGGCGATGCCTGTCTCAGGCATTTCCAGTTTACAGATTCAAGCTTGTCATCCATCCAGCAGCGGGGAGCCAACTTAAAATTAATGTCCAATAAATGTCAGGGCTTTCTCTGCCTGTCCTCACCCCTCTGGGCTCCTCTTCCTAAGTAGGGGTGAGGCTTCACTGTCCAAGCCGCTGTCCCTTGAGGGGACGGAGGCTGGGAGGGTGGTGAGTGCTCAGCAAGGACTAGGACCCCTGTCCAAAAGCCTGAGCCTCAGCCAGGACAGGTTCCCGCATGCAGCCCCCACCGTTTGGGATGTTATTCCTGGGAGAAGGGGGCTTGTTCCTGCCTTATGCAAGCAGGATGACTCAGTGGCCCCCCAGCCCCTGTCAGAACCTGAGATGGGTAAAAGTGTGGCTGCTTCTTAGAAGGGCTTTTCTGTAAAATGAACAGGCCTGGTGGGGACCATGGAGACCACAGGGGACCACAGGCCCCTGTGCAGACAGGACACCCATGGGGCCCCCAGGAGGAAGTGACAGATGGGCACAGTGCCTGCTGCAGGGGCTGGTGGGCATTTGTTGACTTGCAGTGGGTGGGCTGGCCAAAGAGGGCCCAGGGCCTTATCCCCAGAGCTGCCAGGGCTGAGCTGTATTGTAGCAGGACAGCCCTGCCCATCTGTCCACTATCACCTGGAGGGCATGTCCTTAGACCTGCTCACCTGTCCCTGGGAATGCCTGGTCTAAGATTGACAGCTATCCTGGCACTTGGGGGAACGTCTGCTGTGCCCCGGGCCTGGGCTCCTGCTGGGCCAGGGAGGGCAAGAAGTTGTGTTTGCACAGCCTAGGGGCTGCAGGAAGACTCCCCAAGGCTCTGTCTATTGTTCTGGAGACAGTGCCCTGGGAACTGCCTGCCCCCGCTTGTGGCCAACAGCTCCCCAGGGTGGGGCCCTGGCAGGGAGGGAGGGAGGCCACCCACCTGTCCCTGAGCTGAGGTCTGCCGCCTGAGGGATGTCTGGCCAGACTGAATCAGTGATGGGTGGGGTCCAGTACTAGTCCTGGTAGGAAGGGACGTGGCCAGGATCCTGGGGTGCTGTGGAGGGAAGAAGCTGCCCCCCTATGGCTCTTCCACTTCACAAAGACTGGGGGCTGGGGGGAGAGGTAGGGAGACCAGGGTCAGGTTCCCAGTGGCTTCAGGGACCACAGGGAAGGGAGGACACCTCACAGCCAGTGTGTGCTTGGCCCCCGAGGTCAGGGGAGCCCATCTAGGCCCTGAGAGGATGGGGAACAAACCAGGGCATAAGCCGCAGTCCTCTGCTTCCGTGTTAGCACCAAGCCGGGCTTCTGACTTGGGGGACAAAGCAGGAAACAGAACCATGTTCAACCAGGACAGCAGGTCTGGCTAGTCAGGCCCTGGAGGCCCAGGCCAGGCAGAGGGGGGCCCTCCCCAGCCATCTGCACCTCTGAGTGCCCCCTGTCCTCTCCGTCTCCTCCCATCCAGAAACCAGGGGTCACTGTGGCCAGCTCCACATCCCTTCCCAGCCCACCTTGGAGATCCTGCCAACTCTCTCTTGGAATTTCTCTCCTTCCCACCAGCCCCAGCCCCACATTCAGCTGCCCTTCGCCTGACCTTTGGGGCCTGTGTGGCCTGGCCCCTTGGGCCCTCAGCCATACCAGCCTCCGCTGCTGGGCACCCCTGGGCCTTGGTGCAATGTCTCAGGTCCCCAGATGATAGGAGTGGGATTGCTGGACTCACCAGCCCTATGACCCTGGGTGTCCCGGCTGGAAAGCAGGCGGTGGGGCACCAGAGGTGAGGGCGGGGCCGCTGGCAGAGGCAGGTGGTCTGCAGTGGGGGCCCTGCACAGCCCCCTCCTCAGTTTCCATCCTGAGCCCCTCACCAAGCCGTTACCTGGACTCCAGGCCCTCACATAAGGGGCCAAAATGAGGCCAGCTTGTGGGGTCATTAGCTCAGGCCAAAGCAGGCAGGTGGGGCACCATGTCAACCACCATGGGGGTCTGAGGTACTGCGTTCCCCACCACACCACAGGAGATGAGCATGGTCCAGGGTGCAGCCCTGGAGCCACAGCTGCAGCTCAGTGATTCTGTCGTCCACCCAGCACCAGAGGCCCTGAGAGCCAACAGAGGTCAGCAGGACAGACCCACAACAGCGTTGGGAGGGGGGTGCACAGGGCATGACGAGCGAGCGGGGCCTGAGGAGGTGATGTGAAGGCAGAGATCCTGGCCAGGGGCCTGGGCATGGCCCCCCAGAAAGAGCCGGCCACAGCAAGATGGGCGAGGAGGCCAGGCAGAGCCACCTTGTTGGGAGCCCAGCACCCAGAGGGTGGGGCAGAGGCTGGACCCAGGTGCTTGGCCCACCCAGAGGCCCTGCTTCAGCCCAGCCTCTGCCTCCTGGCACCAGCCATGTCGGGGCCAGGCTGGCACGCCTGGTCCCAGGGGAAAGAACCGCAGCCCTGGCTGTCCCAGAGCCTCAGTGTCAGTGTCCCAGCTGGCGAGCATGGGGCCGCAGAGCCGTTGGCAAGTTAGCCTGCATGGGGCCAGCAGGGGTCAGCCCTTGGACCTCCAGGGCCCCAGGCCCCAGAGGAGCCTGGCAGGACCGGGCTCCCCTCCCCACATGGTCATTTCCTGTGCTGGGCAACATGCAGGGAGGTGTAGCCAGTCCTGTCCTGGTCCTGGGGGTGGGGGACCATGCAGGGTGGGCCTTGAGGCCCAGTCCTCGCATCTCCCCTGGCTGAGGAGGCCTGTGTCAGCCCAGGACGCCCAGGCATCTTGAGGGCTCAGGGCTCCCACATCGAAGAGCCATGACTGGCCAGGGTGTCACTGAGGGCCTGTCCTCTCCCCAGTCCAGTGAGTCCCAGGGCTATGGGGTCACACGTCGGCATCCTCACACACATCCCTGCACCTGCAGACGCAGGGACGTGTGTCACTCAGCCAGGTTAATGTGCTGGTGTGCACGCCCCCCACCCATCGCCACAGAGGACACGTGCAGCCCACACACAGGCACAGCTGGTCCTCTGCCGGCTGGGGAGCGAGCAGGTGTGTGGGCCAGGTGGGCTGGCCAGGCCCCAGCACCAGGGTCTGGCCCGCCTCCTGTTCAGTGAGGCCTGGTCACGCCCAGACGGCACATTCCTCAGGGATTCCTCTCCCTTTGCCTCTGGCCACTGACTGTCCCCTGAGGAGCTCGAGTGACCTCAGAGCTGGGATATTCCCGGGAGCCCTCAGGAAGGTGCTCTCAGAGCAGAGGGACCGAGGACACTTCCTAGAGGCAGCACGTGACTCCGAGTCACAATCCCTGTGGGAACCTGAGCCCCATAATGCACAGGCTGGGCCACTCCCTCCCAGAGGCTCTGTACATGGAGGCCCCACCCTCTGTCTGAATTCCCACCCTCCTCCCTGGGCCCCCCACTCCCTTCTCAGGGCCCCCCCTCCTGTCAGGCATCTCACTGAGATCCCCCCATCATAGGCACACAGAGGAGCCCTGGTCCCTTCCTGAGCCCAGGTCCCCCTTCTCTTCCTGCAGGGATAGGCCACTGCCCCACCCCCTCACAGTCACCCCACATCTCAGCCTCCACATGAGAGCCTGGGCCCCCCATCTATCCCATCTCCCTGTGGCTGGCTCCTCCTGGGGTCCCAGGCAGCCTGCTCTGTGTACCCACCTCATGCTGGTCTTCCTCTTGCTGACCTCTGACCTCTGCTGACTCTCAGAGCATCTCCTAGTGCTTTTGGGGCTGGGCGGTCTCGGGGAGGGTCCCAGGCCACCAGCTGAGGGGGGTCAGTGGACACCTGCCAGGTGAGTGGGCCAGCCTATGGGTGTAAGGCAGGCCATCCCCCCATCAGGGTGGACACCCCACCCCAACAGGCTCCAGATTGGGGTCACATGTCAGCGGGGGAGGGCGGCCATCCTGAGTCCAGCACGGACATGCACTAAAGTATGCTCCTCGCAGCTGAGGGGTGGGGGCAGCCTGCCATGACCAAGGGCCGGGAGGGCCGGGCGTCAGGTGTGAGGGGTCTATGCCACTCAATAAGCCCTGGCCCCTCCAGCACGGCCCAGGCCCTTGGGGCCCCAGCGAGGCCTTTGCACAGGAAGATTTCTGGAGCCCCTGGCTGGGTCAGGGGTTTCCTTGGGCTCCAGGATCCCACATGTATAACCCAGGGTGCCCCCAGCAGACACCCTAAACAAATCCTTGTGGCCCTCCTGCTCCCTGAGGCGTCCTTACCTCTGACCCCGTCCCTTGGGGGCGCTCTCTGCTCCCAAAGGCTGTGGGGGGCAGGAACTGGGTCAGCAGAATCGCAGGTGCAGGAGGGCCATGTGTGTGAACACGGGTGGCACATACGTGTGGACGCATGCATGGCAGTGGGTCTTGTACACAAGGTGGGGGGGCAGGAACGAGGGCTTTGGAAGGAGGGCATCGGTGAGGTCACAGGGTGTGATAAGCTGGGCTGAGAGTATGAGTGAAGGGCTGGGAGGCCCCCCAGGAGGCCCCTCAGGTGCCACCAGGGCCCTGCACTAGGGCTGTGAGCTGATCTGTTTTTGGAGGGGCTGCTCCAGCATCCAGGGGCTGCAAGGGCAGGTTTCACCCAGACCCACCCCCAGGACCTGCCCAGGCTGCGGAGGCCAACACTGACCCCCCAGCTCCACCCCCGGCTCTGATCTCTCACCTCTGATCCCCGCCCTCTGCTGCCCAGCTTACCAGGGAGAGAACCGAAGGCCAGCCAATCCCGAAGCTGAGGCCACGCCCCTGGCCAGCATGACCTGAGAGTATAAATACACCTGCCAGGACCCAGCCAGAGAGTTCACACCTGCCTCAGCACCCCACAGCTGCAAGAGCACAGGCAACCTCCTGCGCTCCACCTGCCAGGAACATAGCAGAGGGCACACCTGCCAGACCAGGGCCACCAAGACAGCTGCTGGCGACCAGCCCGTGGAGGGACATCTGCCAGGTGGAGCACAGGCTGGGCCTGGCCCAGAGGAGACAGCGAGCGTCGCTGGAGCAGGAGAGCTCGGAGCCTCAGAGCCTGGCCGTGGCCGGCCAGGAGGACCATGCCCTGGCCCCGCTGACCCCCAGCCGCCAGGTAAGGCCAGCTCAGCTGGCATTCACCTCTCACCTGTACAGGCTCAGGGTGGGGCAGCTCCTCGGGCGTGGGGCCTCAGTGCCAAGGAACCGGTTATGTGGGGCAAACTGGCCTGGGGGAGAATGGCCCACAATCCCCCAGATCCTCCCAAAGCTGCCTCTTAACCTGCAGCAACCACTTCACCAGGATATGGTGACATCTCACACTGCGATACAGGAGGCGCTCGTGACATCACAGTGATGTCACTGTGACTCACTGCAGTCAGTCATGGTGCAGCAATATCCGAGCCTTCACGGCATGTCATCATGAGGTCATCCCACTGGCCCATCTAGACTGACCGGAAAGTTAGGGTCAGGGTCACCTCTGGGGCCACATGGCCAGAGTCGTCCCAAAGGCCCTGGTCTCCTCTGTCCACCATGTGGCTGCCTTGGGTGAAGACCTGGCCCAGCAGAGGGGTAGGGGCAGGGCTGGGCAGGGCCCTGGTCAGCAGGCTGGTCACCTGAGCCTGCTCAAGGAGACAGAGACAGGGTCTCCCATGGAAACGGAAGTGGGACAGGACCCAGTTGTGTGCTGGGCCAAGAGAGGACAGGTGGGCCCATGCACCTCCCGTCCCCATCAGTGGGCCAAGGGCTGACACAGGGCCCTCGACCGGCCAGACAAGCTGGCCCTTCAGGTTCGGGGTACGGCTGGGAGACAAACCCTCTTCGGGCTACTAGCCTCTACCCCTGCTCAGGCCTCTCCATCTCCCATACACTGACCAGCGTGGCCCAACCCCCAGCCACAGCATCCTGACCTCCCCCAGCCAGGCCTGGCACCACCCAGTCCTCACATAGTTCCCTGAAAATTGGGTGCCCCCCAACCCAACCAGGCACCTACACTGGGATCCGTGTTCGAACCCACTTCACTTGACGCAGAGTCATATCCTCCTGTGAGAGCCCAGGGCCCGCTGCCGGGTGACCTGGCTGAGTCACCTCACCCTCTAAGCTGCCTTTTCCACTCCGTGGCTGTTGTCACATGACCTGGCCCAGCCTGGCAGAGCCCAGATGTAAATAGTACCTATTGTGGGCCACTGTCATCATCACCTTTCTCTCTGCCAGGGGACAGAGCCAGGTAGGATAGGGCCAGCAAGAGGTGTCCACCAAGCAGTCAGCAGGAAACCCTTGTGCACAGGGCGTCTGGGCTGCTTGGGCCTCAGCACTCAGGACACTACCCCTGCTTCAGCCTGGGAGGAGCTGGAGGGCATGGGGCAGGGTATAGGTGGGACTTTCTGAGGTACCCACAGGTGGGCAGTATCCTTCCTGGGATCTTTGGAACTAGTGCCGGGCAAGAGAGGACAGGCCGACCTCACAGGAAAGGGGCAGCCTATGGTCACTCACAGTCATCTGTTTGTCCCACAGCTCAGAGCCATGTCATCAGGCCAGCAGGTGTGGCATACAGCCATGCCACCCCCTGGCTGGAGCAGCCCCACAGCCACAGTGCCCAGGTCTCCTGGCTCGGTCAGCAACCCCACGTCCCCCAGCTCGGTCAGCAGCCCCAGGTCTCCTGGCTCGGCCAGCAACCCCACGTCCCCCAGCTCGGTCAGCAGCCCCAGGTCTCCTGGCTCAGCCAGCGGCCTCAGGTCCCCCAACACCCCTGGCTCCGAGAAGGTGGCCTCCCCGCTTGAGTGCTCCATCTGCTTCTCGGGCTATGACAACATCTTCAAGACGCCCAAGGAGCTGTCCTGCACTCACGTCTTCTGCTTGGAGTGCCTGGCACGGCTGGCGGCTGCCCAGCCAACAAGCCGGCCTGGCAGTGAGGCTGTGCCCTGCCCATTCTGCCGGCAGCCCACGGCTGTGCCTGCCGACGGGGCCCCTGCACTACGCACCAGCCGTCAGCTGCAGGCCAGGATGCCAGCGCACCTGCGACGGGAGGAGCCCGTGTGGCTGGAGGGCACCAAGCTGTGCTGCTTCCCCCCGCCCTCTGCACCTGGCCTCTCGGCACCCGGCTTTGTGTGCGTGGACGTGGGCCTGAGCAAGCCTGCTGAGCCCACTGTGCCCACACCCACCCCAGTCCCCACCCGCCGCCGGGGCCGCCTGGCTCGCTGCTGGGCACGCTTCGGGGACTGGAAGCGCATGGCACTCATTACGGCCCTGCTGCTGGTGCTCTTCTGTGTAGTGCTCTGGCCTGTGCAGTGCGCACTCAGGACAGGGAGCCTGCACTGCCTGTCTCGGCCGCCTAGCAGGCCGCCTGCCAGCACTGCCCCAGCCACCATCACCTATGCAGACACCTTCTCCCTTGGGCCCCTGGCCGACAACTAGGGTTGTCCCATGCTCCATATGTGGGTCCCCAGCCCATAGCTGAAGTCACAGGTGCAGCAGCTGTTGGGAGTCAGTTCCCAGGACCCTAGAGGAGCCCCAGCATCTCTGAGGACCCCATTTGGCTCACCTGTCCCCACTCTATGGGGCTGGTTCCTGATGGGGTGGACAAAAGTCTCCCCAAAGATATAACAAGAATATCTCCAAGATATCCAAACATATCCCCAAACATATCCCCCTCATAACAGGCTCTTATGAGCCCCAAAGAACACTGCCCTAACTCCCATCATACAGTTGGGGAGACTGAGGTCAAGGAGAGACAGCCTGACCAGGCCCCCTCCCTGTACACACTGTGAATTGCCCACGGGGCCACCCTTGCTGAGAGGGGAGGGGGCTCACCACCCTTATTTTCACATTTCACCCACGTTGCTTCCCCAGACCTTCCCCAGGCAGGGCTGGCCCCTTCTGTTGGGTGGGCGTGCTGACCCTGCCCTCTGGACAGGGTGACAGGGCAACGGCAGAGAGCCCAACCCCCCGGTGCCCCTGCAACCCACCTGAATTGTACATTTCTAAATAAATTATTTTGTATCCGCATTTGGTGAGGGGTCCTTACCTTATGTACCCTCCTCCCTGCACCACTGAGTCCCTCCCTCCAGAAAAGCCCTGTCCACCCCTGCCGCAGAGGGCCTCAAGCCAGAGGACACCCCAGCTTGATCCAACTCCCAGCAGCCCCTAGGGCAGGTGAGCCCCAGGTTCCAGGGATTTCAACTCCTGTCCCCTCCAGTCTGTGGATGGGCTGGAGCAGTTCTGGACTTGGCTGTCCCTCAGGACCGTGAGGCTTCCCTAGTGAGCTGGGGCAGGCCTTGGACTGGTCCCAAGAATCCCCATCCTCAACCGTGGTCACACGGGGCTGCACCCCCAAGAAGCCACGGCCCTAAGGTCCTGCTGGATGCCTGACTGGAGGACCCATGGACCCCCAGGAACTGAGGACTAAGGGTGCACAGAAGCAGAGGTGGTGACAAGTGTGTCCTGAAAATCACAGACCACAGGTCCCCCAGCAGACCCTCCCTAGGCCAGGCTGGTGAAGCGGAGAAGCCCTGCCAGCCCCTCTCCACCCCCACGGGGTTTTGCCGTCTGCCCTAGGAACCCTGCACCACCAGGTTGGCATGGCCAAGAGAGGCCCTGCCGGTTCTGGCTCTCAGCCTCCTCACCCTCACCCCAAAGCCCTGGACTTCCTGCTCCACCCAGCTGGGCCTCTGCGGGGGTGGGGAGACCCTGGGGAAGATGGGCTGTCGTGGGGACCCAGACGCACCCTTTCCCTAGGCCCCAGCAATGACACAGAACTGGGAGCAGGCGTTTTACTGAGAGCACCACAAAGCCACAGGACCCCTGGGGATGGGATGACATGACAGTGACGACACCCATCACACACCAGTCAGCCACGCACACACGGAGCCTCGCCCGTGCCACGGGCAGGGCCAGGCATGTGAGGTTGCACATGCGGTCACATGAGCATCTCACACATTCCCTCACTCAACAAGCATTTATCCACGTGTGACCACAGTGTGATGGCCCAGGCCAGGCCTGGACACGGCAGGGACTGAGCCACTGCCCAGGCCACATCCCAGGCCACACCACCGTGGGCAGGGCTGAGGGGTGGCTCTGGAGGCAGGGGTGGCGTGCAGGATGCAGGGGAGCCAGGCCCAAGCAAGACTGGCGACAGCTCGCTGGTCACTTGTGTCACACACACAGGCTGACACTCAAGCATGTGGTACAAGGGTCACACATGGTCACTCACTGTGTAGTGAAAGGGGTCACTGGTGGTCACGGGAGGCCTCCCACACTGAGAAAACCACAGCCCTGCAGCCCTGCCCCCACCTGGGAGTCCCAGAGGGGACTGGGACCCAGGATCTCCCAGCAGCCCCTCCCCGTTTTGAGGTGTCCAGCCTGGCGGGGGGGCCTGCGGGGCAGGATCCTGGACAAGCTCTAGTCTGTCGTCCCAAACTCAGCACTTTTTTAAAGAAGAAACGAGAGAGGCAGAGAAGCACCGTGGGAGAGCCTGACCGGCCGCCTCCTGCACGCCCCCCGCCCGGGATCGAGCCCACAGCCCCGCACGTGCCCGACCGACCGCGACTCCCACCGGCGACCTTTCGGTGCCCAGGGCGACGCCCAACCACCTGAGCCACACCGGCCGGCGGCGGTCCTTCCTGGGCCTCCCGCCCCCTCGTGCGGCCCCCAGGCGGCCCCAGGTC